AGATTGTTAAAGGAAATCAAAACAGAAGACCCTATGAAAGTCAATAAAAATAAAAAAATAGACTGGTAAAACACCCTGTCAGGCATGAAGGTTTAGTCAAAGACATATTAGAGGCAGAAGCAGGAGTTAAGAGTAATAAAGGTAGACCTGGATTAGATTACCGTTCGCAAATAGTTGGGGTTATGGGATGTTCTAATTTTAGAGAAATGCAAAGATTAGCTCAGGATAGGAAAGAGTGGAGATGCGTGTCCAACCAGTCTTAGGACTAACTGATGACCTTATGATGATGATGATGATCACTAAAAAACAAATAACTTTTGAAATTTGTGTTTAGAATTGATGGGATTAATTTGAACGTCAACCCAGAGAGCGCAATTCTGATTTGAATAAAATCTGTACAAGTATTTAATGTACTAAATACAGAAAACTTTTAAAATTCTTTGAGACTCTCCACACAATGTTCTGACGACCTGATGGATGCTGTACCTGACATTACGCTCCAAAATAACCAATTATCGTCTATGTTATTTCAGGTTTCTTTCTTGACCCATCATTGATATCTCCACGTTTTTCCGTGATTCTATTGCTATTTTCGGCATTTTTTTGATACCATCATGAACCTCAAGTAAACTAACATGTAATAATCAGTTGATAAGATTAATTACAAGAAAATAACACAGAAATATCTTTAATTTTATAGTTTTCATTGCATATAATAAGTGAACCAGATAGATGATTAGGTGGAATGTGAGTAACATCGTAGAAACGTACATATTACGAATTTATATGTGTATTGAAGATGCTATTAATATTGTTAAAGATAGATCTACTGTAGGTATAGTCATACAAAAGATTAGCGTGATTAGATTTGCGGATGATATGGCAGTAAGCAGTACTAGTTTCAAGCAACTGACGATCTTATGATGGGGATGATTTATTTTATAATGATCGCTGATTTTCGGTATCTAGGAAGTCAGATAATTCAGTATGAAACGAGTAGTAGTAAACACACTTCTTCTTAATTATTATCAAAAATAATTGTTCCTTCCTCCAGATATAAGTATACCTCATAAATTTGTTGTTTCGAATCGTTGTTTTAAATAAATCATGTAGTCATTTCCTGAATTTTTAATTTAATTTTCCGTAAGGCCAATTGACTTTCGTAATGATCTAATTATCGTTTTCGGAGATTTCATTATCATAGTTTAAATAAATTATTTACAGATCATTCTGATAACATGATTAGGAAATGTTAATTAAAAGATAAAGCCAACCAAAAATAGGCCCCAATTAGTCGTAATTAAGCCGTAATATGGAACCCAATTAGCTTTTTGGATAATTTATGATCATATACCGTATTAGAATTAACTTTTATACATTATTAACTCATCCTTATTTCTTCATAAATTTCTGACAAATATGTTCAGAAATGTTAAAATAATTTTTAGTAGATAGTTTCGGAATTATTTTTTATTATTGTGTAAATGATACCAAAAGTCGTTTAACATATTAGTGTTATTTTTGATAAACCTTCAGGCTGTTACCTTTTGTTTTCTACCTTCCACTTGATTTAGTTTTTTTGAGCACTCCATACATTAAACTTGTACACAGTCTGGGCTTTTATGTCATCGTCATCACGATATGCACTGCTAACTATACTTTTGTGGTTCTCAATAGGGAGACCGTGTAAATTATGAAGGCCATGACGTAATAGCCCAGAAAAATTTTTTTATTAAAATTGTAACTGGATTTTGTTAGTGCTAAGGAAAATAGAAATGTATAGGTTTTTCTTCAGCCCCGGAAATAGTAAAGATTGAAAACACTCTTTGCCTAATATATATTTCTCTGTTTGCCTGTTTGTCAGGCAATAAACATTTGAAAACACCTTTAGTAGAGTCTGTCTTAACAAAGGCAAAAAATATATAAACAGAAATTCAATCGGTGCTTCCTTAATGTGTAAAGGTCATTAGAATTTTTTTTCTTAATGAAATAATTTCCTATTTTAAGGAAACACACCCACTCATTATACCGTAACATTTCTTGGAATTGTAATGTTACAAATGTCATTTGCATATTCTCACGAGCGCGGTTTCAATTAACAAAAGAACTTAATTAAAAAAGCGGACGTAATAAAATTAAAATAAGGGGGCACACGTACGAATGTGTGTATGCAAGTAAATACAGCGATGACATGTAGGTACTACAATACCTACACGCTTGTACGTGAGATATGACTTGTCTATTCTTTAGTTCTCTGGAAAAGGAATAAATGACAATTTAACCTTGATCAAGGTTTTTCTTTGTAAGAAACCGACAAATTTTGTACTTTCACGCAACCGTTGTTGTTATTAAATTATAACCCTGAATGTAAGTAATAAAATAAACCAATTTACTCTGTGCAGCGAGAAAAAGTACCAAGCAACGTACAAGTAATTAACTTCAGCATACTGACAATTAGCTGTACCAACAAAGCGTCCTTCACTGGTAGGTAATGGTTAACGACGTACATTTGTAATTCATTAGATGCTACTGTACTAATATTACAAACAGTAAAGAAATCTGCGTATACTTTTTATTATAATTATTTAATTGATTTGAACGAAATTTCTGTAACACATACTCATTTTTCCCATTCGAATTTCTCGGTAAATTTTTATTATTATCTACTAAAAATTAAAAACAAAACAAAAAAAATTATTCAGACAGGGATGCACACTGTCACCGCTACTTTTTAATCTGTATATCGAACACGCGATCAACATCATTAAATACAATACAACTGTAGGGATAGACATACAGGCGGAAAATTAGTATGTTTATATTTGCAGATGATATAGCAGTATTAGCATCTAGCAAGGAGGAGTTAGAGATAGTTTCGAATAAAATGGAAGCGGTATTGACAAAAGAGGACTGTATGAAAATAAATAAAAGTAAACAAAAAAAATGGTATACAAGGGAGGAAAAAGTAAAAAAAAGAGCGAATATAAAGATAGGAGACGAAAAAAAAAGAGTTTGATTTTAAATATCTAGGAAGTCAGAGGGATATAAATCAGAGGATAGAGCAGAGGCGAATCGCCTTCATTAAAAAAGTCACTTCTATGCTCGCGAACGGTTATTTTAGAAACTCGAAAAAGGTTGTTAAAGGTGTATATTTGGAGTGCGGCGCCTTACGGGTGCGAAACATGGACAGTGGGCACGGCGTAAAAAAAAGAAGCGTTCGAAATATGGTGTTACAGGTGAATGATGAGGATTCCGTGGATAGAGAAGCATAGGAGAACCTCTATAGAGGTCAATAACAAATAGGCGAGATAAGTTAGTAAGACACCTTCTCAGGCATGAAGGTCTAGCCAGAGACATATTAGAGGCAGAAACGGGAGTTAGGAGGAGTAGAGGTAGACCTAGATTAGATTACTGTTCGCAAATAGTTAAGAATGTCGGATGTTCTGGTTTTAGGGAAATGCGAAAATTAGCTCAAGATAGAAAAGAGTGGAGGTGCGTGTCCAACCAGTTTTAGGACTGACGACCTTGTGATGATGATTTTGTATCGATTCTGTATAGAAATACCGAAAGATAACACCATTTCAGTATCGATTTCACTTAAAATAACTCTGAACGTTATTAAAGATTTTTAATGGCTTGTGCATTCGTTTTTAGCACTCTAATTTTCTGAGTATCTTGTAAAGGTTATTTTTAGATTAATTAGTGCTTATACCACCATTATAAGATAATTAAACAATTTTGTGTCAATATTTTATGTTCCGCTTTTACATCGGTGTTTTATAATTGATTAGATAAAATATCAATATCGTTTTTCTTGATACTGACCTTCTTTCGTATCAAAATAATTACAATGTTGATGTTCCCGTCTGAAACTGCAGGTCTCTAATAACTATATGAAGCTTCTGTCGTTCCCACGCTAAACCTAGTTATTAGGCCATTTATCTCTGCAATTATAAATTGAGAAGATTAATATTATTAGGAGAACATCGAAATCTAGATGAATGTTTGATTAGCTAGAATTATTTTCCGTAATGGTCTGGCTTCGTATTACTGGCGGGACATATGCTCAATGAGAAACTTTTTTTAAATTTGTGTCATGAACGCAAATCACGGGTTTTGATGAAACCGTATACTTCCTTTTTCAAATTAATTAATAAGGATTCGTCCACTTTCTCGTAGAGATCGTTTTGATAAACGTTTACCGGACCGTTTAACCATTACGATCTTCATTCGCGTCATCGACAGCAATTTCTACGGCTTTCAACAGAATATCGGATAACGTTTTAATTCCCCTTAAATAAGCTTCAAATAACTATCATGTTTCCTGGAAATTTGCACATTTCTGTAAAAATAAAAAATTAATTAATATTTACCAGAACGTTAGACAAACAAATTATAATCATGAAAGAACTCATAAATAAAGTGGAAAGTAATTAATATTTATAGCACGTTTAACTAAATTAATGTTTTTAACATTTCTTAATTGTTATCACCTAGAAATCAGAGTTTTTGAATTATTACAGAAAGAAAAGAAAAGTTGATGGGTTTAATAAATTCGTAACGCAATGTGATTAATTGGTCTCCAATTAATAAAATTTTATTATTCACTATTATTCATTGTCTTTTCCATGCATTGGTTATTAATAAATACTCAGACCGTTCCAGATTTCAAAAGTTTTCCAGGTAAATCGACAGCCTGAAAAATCCATATAACAAATTATTAATATAAAGGAATGGAGACATTGCACAAATATGATTTATGTGAAGTAATGTTTAGCTATTTACCTGGACCATATGTATTATTTAACTGAATTTTGTTAATTAATTTACTTGGCTTCATATGTTTTAAATGTATAAAAGATTTTTTTTAATCAACATTCGCAACCAAATCCTTATCATTTACAGATTTCTTCGAAAATCTTTGATAAAATCTGTAACCATCTCACAATTCGAAAATATCTCTCATGATTAATCTCTCTAATAATTTTTATTTGTTTCAGAATTTACAACGAAACAATGGGCTGATAACAAACCACAAAAGGTGAGTTTTGATATTCAGACTTAACCTGATTGTGCCTGCTTACAAGTATGTAATTTACTACATTCGATGATTTGATCGTTAAGCGGGTTTACTATGCTATCATTATAACGCGGTTATTAATTAATGAAAATTATTCATCGGAACATACTAATTATGAACAATTAAGCATCGAATTTAAATAATCTTCATTGTAACATAATCAGTCGAAGGATAAATAAATAACTGTCTTGCGATAGTTGCATACCGTAACCTAACGTTAGCGTATAGGTATTAAATGCTAATATTAATAATTGCTTATGATTATCTAGATTAACAACAGATTACTGTTCTTTTTCATAAATATTCATCGAATTCTGCGTAATTTTCGTGAATGTGGAGATCTGCTGTCCATATTTAATTATGTCTAAATCCACCTGTTCACTATATGCAACACAGTTTTATTAATAAACTAGTGCAACGCTGATACTAAATATATTTTTGTTTTGTTTAGATTATTATCGAAAAGGGGAAATCTTCAAAAGATACCCCCTGAACATAAGAGAAAGAGATAGACATATACCGTCACGGACTTTTTTGTAGACCCTTTTAAGATGTACAATATTGTAGTACATTATTCTGATCTATCTCGTAGGGTTCAGCCAGCGTTTGCAATGTAAGCGCAAAAAATGTGTTTATNAACTTCATGTGTGCTTTCACAATTAAAAATTTCATGATATAGTTTCTTCGATTATCGTTTATATTGATACATCGTCACTCGATAAATCCGAATACGCCTTAATGAATTTTAGAATCACTTCAGGCTATTTGTTCAAATAGAGGATTTGCTTACATACTATCTACCCCAGTACCACAAAAATATTGGTATCTTCTTCAGAAGATGAAAAACCCGGTAGTATTTCTAATCGTAACGCAATTTCTAGGCGACCTAAATGTTAACCATCGAGCTTCAAAGAATTTTGGTACCCATGCACCAAGCCATGTGTCTTTATGGATTTTCAATTTTGCCAAACATGTTTTATCTATGTTGGTTCAATATTGGATAAATATTCTATATAAATAAAGGAAAAGGTACATCCCTTGTATATATTGCCAATATTGGATAAATATTACATATCAATATAAATAAAAGTTATTGCCAAATATCTTTTATTAATATTGGATCAATATCCGATAAACATAGTATTAAAATATAGGAAGAAAGTATATCTCCTATATACTACCAATATTGGCTATAAACTGCCAATATTGGGCCCATATACAATATTGTACCAATATAGAGTAAATATTGGGCCAATGTCGTGTGCTACTGGGGTACATCTTGATTCATTTTCATTATTTCGGACATTAACTGTACGCATTCGAAAGGAAAATCAAGTAGTGTATTTAAACGTGACCTGGACATTAACCTTCGAGGTCATTTGTAGATCAAGTTTGTTTTTAATCTCCGTAATGAAAAGTGCGGGAAATTTGATAATCGGAATACCGTTGAAGTTGATTTGCTCAGCTTTCAGACGATAATGGATATATTAATTGGCCGAGGGAGTACAAAATAGTTTGCCGCCCTGTCGCTGTTTCGATATCAAATGCTTTATAATTCACCATGTGCTTTTTTGTATCTGTGAATAACTTTTCAACAGCATCATCCTCTTGTTCAAAATTGGTTTGGGCATTTCCGTACAAGTATTGTACGTAGACATCCTGCGGTGTGGCAAATTATTAACTGCGTTAGAACGACTGGAGAGCTTTGTTGATAGCGACCAGATGAAGTTTGCACTTTTTTTTTTAACAACAAAACACCTTCTTCAACTCTCCAACTTATCGTAGGTACATGAGTTATGACCGTATTTTATAAACCGCACGTTGAAATTGCGATTTGGTCGAAACGGATTTTGAATTATATTTACGTCATCGCAAACGTCAGGACGGTTATAATGAACGGCCTGTAATGCTTAAATAATGTTTTTGATTTTATAAGACGCGTGTGTGAAATGTCCCGTATGGAAACCACTACACGCTCAGTACTTTCGAGAAAACATATTTTAATCATGTTCCAACTGGAGATTCACGTTAACCCTTATGTCACTATTTTGCAATAATTTATCTTATCTAATACACCATACTAAATATTCACAAAATTAAAATTTCGCGCGCATTGCAAACTTAATATTTACATATTAATAAATTCAGTCTGTACATTAGTCTATCCAACAGGTGCATCTGCAACGTGAACGTAAAAGCATTCGCGGCTGTCGTCATCGAAATGCTATGTAAAACTATAAGAAGGTAGTAGGCTGGATTGAAGCATTTGATGTTTCACAATCATTTTTATTCTAATTCACAACAATTGTCTCATCAGTTTAGTTATTGAATTACAATAAGAAGTGTTAGCATCTAAAAAGGAAGAATTAGAAATAGAAGCGGTATTGACAAAACAGTACTGTATGAAAAGAAATAAAAATAAAACAAACATACTGGTATGCAAGGAAAGAAAAAATAGTGAAAGAGCGAATATAAAGATAGGAGACGAAAAATTAGAAGAAGTGGTCGATTTTAAGTATCTAGGAAGTCAAATAAGTCAGAACGGAAGGAATAGTAGGGATATAAAGTAGACGATGGCGCAGGGTCGAGTCGCCTTCAATAAAGAGAAATCACTTATATGCTCGCGAACGGTTAATTTAGAAATTCGGGAAAGGTTGTTAAAGGTGTTTGTTTGGAGCACGACGCTGTATGGGTGCGAAACATAGACAGTGGACACGGCTGAAAAGAAAAGATTAGAAGCGTTCGAAATGTGATGTTACAGACGAATGATGAGGATACCGTGGATAGAGGAGGCTAGAAATGAAGAGCTATTAAAGAAATAGGAGAACAGAGGACTCTTTGGAAGTCAATAAGAAATAGGCGAGATAGGTTAGTAGGACACCTTTACAGGCAGGAAAGGGTAGAAGTACGTGTCCAACCAGTCTTAGGACCGACGACCTTATGATGATGTACTTAAAACTTCATGTGTGCTTTCACAATTAAAAATTTCATGATATAGTTTCTTCGATTATCGTTTATATTGATACATCGTCACTCGATAAATCCGAATACGCCTTAATGAATTTTAGAATCACTTCAGGCTATTTGTTCAAATAGAGGATTTGCTTACATACTATACAGTTAAATTATTATATTTTTATTTATACCTAATATGTCTGTACATTAGTAGACCCTACGTTAGAAACCGAAAAAAGAATTATTGGAAATGCCTTTGTACAGTAGACACCTATGTATTACTATTAGTATTAGTCAAGACTAAGCGGTATCTAATTATCGATAATTATCTAACGATTAAGTAGTGTCCGAAATAACTGTAATATCACAAAGAACGTTTGCTTGTTTAGTTTTATGGAATCGTTGGAGTCAGTCGGTCAGTCCCATTACCATTGTGGTTTATTTAGGAATGTAGGATACGTACGTGTAAATCGTCGCATATAGGTATATTAAAATCGCGATGAATATTCATAATTGAACTGAAACACGGTTGTAACTTTTCAATTTTTTTGAATAAACAAGAAGTTAGTTGGTAAATGCATTCGGGCACGTGTTTGTGTTTGTGTGCAACGTCTTGGTTGACACGTTTGGGATTACGTCCATTATGTTGTCAATTTCAATTTAAACCAATCTGCAGTCGTCAATCAATCAAGTGTTTATTGCTCGAGAGAGGTAAGACATTTCACCACTTTCACGACACCTCCGACATAGAAGATTTATAACTTATGTCCCGAAGTGACAAAAACTTCTCATGTCGTCACCGTGTGTAAAGAAAAAGTTGTAACGTGTTTATATTGATCATCAAGTTCAAGACATGTATTAGTCTCGCCTGTCAACAATTGCTTAGTATTAGTAAAAAAAAATTTTTAATTTGGACAAATGGCAAACTATCGCATCGCCTCGATGCAAATTTTAACACAAGATCCGAGTGCGATTAGTTTAACTTACAAACCCAAAATTCGTTCAAGTATTGAAATTTATGAGCTAAGGAGCGACCGCCTTTCGCAAATATAAAGTCCGTATTTAGGCCGACGATCAAAATTCTATAGGTTAAAGACTTTGAAATCAACAAAAAATGCGTCTTACTTTTTGTAGTGGATGCAGTACATGTAGCGTGAACCGTACATGTCTTGCACCTCAGTTTCCACATATAGTGACTTAGTGTCCTAAGTACGCCCCTGGTATCATAGCGAACAACGCCCGTTACCTATGTCTTACGTTAAACAAGTTTTCTGATACGATACATTTCTATTTAAGTCCTAATTATATATTTTTATGTAATTACAGTCGATTTCATTTATAACGACGTTAAATCTAAGTCCTTTGAATTTAAAGTATAAAATTCATGTGGCTATAGCGACTTCGGATGTAACTCCGTGTTCGGATGTAGCGACTGTTTTTAATGAATCATTTGTAACAAATCCCTAGTAATCCCATGCAGATATAGCGACCGGAGTCGGCCGCTAAAGACACAAAGAACTTTCTTTTCTTTTGTTTACAATCGCACAGATAGTCAACAAGTGTGGTGACCTTTACCGTTGTTTCTGAGTAGCAACTGTGTTTAGTAAACTTTTGAATAAGTGTGACTTCCAGATGTTCATTTACTGTTAAAAAATTGTTTCAAAATTGAAAAACAGTGTGTGTCTGTATCTTCTTCAACTTTGCTTGTAACGACTTCTGAATACAACGACGAAATTACAGTGGTCCCTTCATTGCCGTTATAGCCGAAATCCACTGTATTAACATTAAGCCTGATTTCAACACCCTCTGATATGGTAATACAAAAAGTAAAAGACATTGGCCCAGGAGAATAATAAGATTTATAATTGCTTCGGTCATACTTTCTAGCATCCCTCTGTTACTTCACTTCTTAATACTAACGCATAATATCCCTTGAATTTCTATTTTTTTTTATGTCTGCATTTATTAACCATGCAAGTTTTGATAATTGATCTTTAAAACGTCTT